CCGGATGACAGTGAAGCTATCTATCACCAAAATTGGGTGGCCGCAAAGGGGTTCGAACCTCGGAATACAACGCACGCTGGTGACAGCGTCTACACTACTACGCCCCCACCACCCTGAGCTTACTCGCGATGGTTTACATAAAAGTTGCGGGATTCCTTCTTGAAAATTGAAACAATCCGTGATTCGCCCCAAGGTGGTGGAATAAGCTCCTGCGACCAGATGTTAGTAATCAAGTCCACGAAGTCGTTTAATCCTCGTCTTGAAAAGTGGGGAAGGCTCGTCAGCCTTGGTAACTTCTTCATTACTCAGAGCTTGAAAGCAAGACAGTACGTTTACTTCTATCGAAGGATCATATGACGCTACCAAAAGAGCCTAGGTTTCAACAGACGAGAAAAACCGGATTGTCACCAGGTCAGATGATACATTTGTTGGAATGCTCCATTTAGTGGTCAAGAGGCCATCGTTATTTATTGAGCATTTAGGTGTATTGGGCATGATCCGATGAACTGGGCACCGACTCCCAATGAACTGCGGTTTTCACACACCGCCCAGCTGCCTTGCGGGTTAGGCTTTGGCTAGCCAAAGGCTCCGGTTGTGGATTCCTCAAGATAATTCACTTGCCTTGGTTTAAGCAACTTGCAACTGGTTCACATGCAAATCATGGAATGTTGTTCTTTTTTAAACAGATTATTGTATCATGATTTATTTGGCACAGTCTGACGTCCGACGTGTGTAAAATATAATAACAGGAAATTAAGAATAAGGCGCGGCGCAGTAGACGATAGATGGACATGCGCAATACGTGTCCTAACAAGCGAAACCGACTAACCTGAAATCGATGGGACAACGAATTCCCCTGCAAATCATTATCAAATACGCGACGCCTGACCATGGAGTTACACGCTTGCTCTATCTAACCCGTGCCAAACTACGTGAACATTAGTAGTTTAACATTTCTGGACGACGAGCAACTTCAGGGTCTCGCAGCCATAAAGCAGAACTGACCGCACACTGGCGATCTATACAAGATCTTTCAGTTTCCACGAAATATCACGTCTGTACTAAAGGTGTTACAGTCTTGCGTAAGCTGCTCCAGCCTTGGAATTGCAGGCGGATACTTCATTGACTATGTTACCGTCATTTGTCACGCAGCTACCTAAGTAGGAGAAACATTCCACTACAACTAATTCTTTACTATCAGCGCTGGGGTAGACGACACCCAATGTTGTAGCATCACTTTGCACTTTGAAGGTGCAAAGCACATACCGAATGAAGTTACAGAATTTGAAAGTCTGTCAAGAGCACTTTGCACATCCTCCACACTTTCGAAAAGGCAAATCACATCGTCAGGGTACTCTAAATCACAGCTTTTCTCCAGATGCCCATTCAATACCACCATCTTGGAGACTACTTGGTGTGTTCTCCAGTATTTCGTCTACTACGGAGGAGGGTCGGAAGGCTGGACTTTGTCTGAAGTCTACTCATTGACCTTCCAGGCACGATTGGATCTTTGGCTCAACAAAAGCCACCCTATGTAGCTCGTTGGATCACAGAAATGTACAAGCCATCACACCATGTCATGGTGCAGTCTCATCATGATGGTCAGTGATGTAGGAATCAACC